ATAAATACCACCTTGAAATCGTTTGATACCCGAATGTTCTTTATTAAACTGGTTAAGAATGCTTAATGGTTTGTACTCATCATCTTGGCAAAAGATAAAGGCGTGGGCTTGCCTTAATTTTAAAGAATAATTGGGAAAGGCCTTTTCCACTAACTTATTTTTGTAGACTTTTCACCGACCACCAACTTTTTTTAATTCTTTTTTTAATTGGAAGAGTTCTTGATTTTCAGCCTGATGAAAATTGTAAAAAATAACCGCCTTGGCTTGTTGAAAATCATGCTGAATAGACTTGACAATGGCTTGCTTCTGACTGGTGGCAGGCATATATATTATATTTTATAAAATTAGTTGGTTAGTGAACCAAATTTGGGTTATTTAATGGTTAGCATGCTTTCGACGAGAGCGAACAACTATGAAAGTTATCCCAACTACTAGCAATATGGCTACTCCGGAAATCCATATTAGCGGGTTGTTGAGACGAAAAAATCCTTTCTCATTACTTAAATTAGATTTATTTTCGGCTTTGGAGAATAATCCTTGAACAATATCTTTTTTCTGAAGATAAGCATTTTGAGCATGCTCATCAGAAGTGTCCTCGGTAAACTGTTTTAATTTTTCCACCTTGGTTTTAATCTGCTTAGCATCGCCTGATTTTATGACCTGCTCGACTTCGGCAATTAAAAGGTCGAGGCGGGTCATTCCTGCCTCATTTAAAACTTCGGTTCTAATTCTTTTAACCTCCTCAGGACTGATATTATTATTATTATTATTCAATTCATCGAGATTTTGCTTGCTCTTTGAACTTAAATCGTCGGTTTTTACTCCAAATTTTTGTAATTCTTTGGTTACTTCTTCTTTAACAATTCTTCTTAATTCTTCCTTATCAATTTGACCTAGTTTGTCTTCGGCTGCTTTTCAAGCCTTTTTTAAATCGGAGTTGGAACTATTTGTTGCGGTGTCTCTGGTTTCATTAAGGATATTTACTATCTCATCTTTATTATCACTTCCTTTGGCTTGATTCAATTTGGTTGTGGCAGATTTTTCCTCAGGGGTTGGTTCAGAAGATTTGGGTGGTGTATCTTTTTTAGGTTCTGGATTATCTTTTTTGTCTGGTGATTCATCTGGTTGTTTAG